AAGTTAACAGGAAAATCACGATTCACAATCACTTTCAGATCATCAGGACAGTCACTCAAATTTCAAGTAGGCATGCTCAATTTCATGAAAAGCATAAAAATATCATTTCAAATCAGTCATACTTGTGTAAAACGGGTTTAGTCCCGCCACCACTTCAAAAACAAATCAAAACATGCTTATAAAACAGTACGGGCATTACCATAAATTTACTTACCTCACTCGCATAAAACCGAGCACTCACTCCATAAAATCGAGCACTCAATCTCAGTGCTAACTGATAGAACGATCAGAACCTAATCAAAACACTCAAGAATTAATACCGGACTATCACACATTCAAGCTGAAATCATCATTAGGATCATTCCTAATCACAATGCTATTCCTATCAATCTCCACATGATCAAATATCTCCAAATTCGTTCTTATATCACAAACTAATCATTAAAATCCCCATTAATTATTGACCCTCGGTGTGTGAACAGTGTCGTTAAACAGTACCCCGACGTGAACAGTAACTGCACTCTCCAAAATTGGCCAAACCACTAGCTAATTCATGGGTTTTTTCCTCCAAAAATTACATAGCAGTCCATTAACACTCAATCATACAAATTCCACTTGAATCAATGCTTAAATCTCATCCTAAAGCTACCGGAATTATCCCCAATTTTCTAGCAATTCACGGACACACAAGGCAGCAAACTAAATGGACAATTTAAGCCTTAAAAGGCTGTCACATACCAGAATTTTCCAGCAAGAACTGGAGCTGCAGTTTGGGGGAAGAGCCGACGGCATGGAAGAAGAAATCCTGCAGGGAACTCACGGGTTTACCCAAAAATTGGAGGAACAAGAGCAATTAAAGTTAACCCAAGGCAATCAAAGCTAGAGAAGGGAGATTCATGGCTGTTTCTTACCCAAAATCGGAGCAAATCACCCCCACAAAGTAGGAGCAGCCGGCGGAAGGAGAAGCAGAGCAAGGCAGATCCGGCTTTTCCAGCAGGGGAGGGAAGATTTCTGGGTTCTAGGTGTGTTCTAGAGCAAGAAGGAAGGAGAAATCTCCAAGCTTTCTCACTAGTTTCTCAAAGGCATGGCTGGGTTCTCTTTCTTTTTCTTTCGAGTGGCTGCAGCGGGAAGAAAGGAGAAGAAGAGCAGAATCGGGCAAGGCTGGGAAGAAAAGAAAGAAAGAAAGAGAAAAAGAAAAGAAGTCATCCTTATCCAAAACTCTTCCACTTTTAAGTCCCTCAACTTTCAAAATATTCACATTAGGCTCCAAAACAATCTTTTCTCACAATCAAGTCCTTAACTAAATGCTAAAATTCCCGAAAATTTGGGATATTACAATTTTATCTTAAAATATGTAAAAAATTTATAAATTTGATATAAAAATTTATATAAAATTAATTAGAAATATTTTAATTAATAAGTTTTAAAAATACATGTTAAACAAATCATTTTTTATAAAGAAGCACAAAAACCTTATTATAATTGTGTCTCAAATATTCTCCAAAGACTTCAAATCTTCAAATTCTTCTCAAACTTTTCTCTTATTAGAATCAAGTTTCATTTAAACCTTCATTGAGATCTATGTTAATTAAGATATCAAATTAAGGAATTAATTTAAATTCTTTGTTAACTCAGAGTTTGAACCCACAAAACTCATATTAATATAAATATTTTTTTTACAATTTTTCTTGTCTCGCCTGATTTTTAAAAACAAAACTGTTGTCTACAGAGTTAAAAAATCATAAAACCATAATGAAGCCTTTATGTAGTAGGGTTTTTTAATTATTTTTTTGGTAAAAAGAGAATATGTAACTGTAATAGTACAAAGAATAACAATACCAACTTGTTGGAGTTTCCTTAAATAAACTCTCGACTTTAAAGCTTGTGAATGGAAAAACAGGCGTTAGAAGAGGTTTCTCTCTAATGAGATCCGATGTGACTCGATTCTGAATTAATTGAAATCCAATGTGATTATCGGATACTAAAAGATTAATACAAAAAAAAGAACAACAGTTTTAATACAATAACAAAAAAATAATAATATGAGATTTTTTGCAGGACTCTCGTCCAAAATAAAAAATGCCTGCAGTAGAGTTAGATTCTAATTTTACCAGAAAATCATCTAGTCCATTATTATCTCGGAGCCTTGGTTGTCCAAATAAACGTCTTGTATACTTTTGGAAGTGATATTAAGATGGTTAAATGCTAAATTTGGTTCCTCAACTTTAAGAAATACACATTTTTTTATCTCTCAACAATTTTTTGTACTTTTTTGACACCGTTAATCCTTCCATTAATTGGGGCCGTTAACTCCACCCATATGGCATTTTTTACATTTTTTTGATGATGTGGAGAGCAAAATTTAAACAAATGATGATATGGACAAAACATTTTGCCATGTCATATTATCGTGACTCAAAAATGCCAAACCACTCAAATGGACCCCACATTATCTGCCAAAGCACCAATAAAGAAAGATGTCTTTTGATGACATGCCAAATTACGTGATATTTTTTTATATTTTTTTAATGATGTAACAAATTAAATTAAATTTAAATGTTTAATCATCATTCAACTATAATTATTTATATTAATCAAAATAATATCAAGTGAAATTTCACTAATTAATCATCATTAAACTATAATTATTTATATTAATCACAATTGAGATTCTAAATTAATTTATAATTAAATCGCAATCTTCTCATCAAATTTTCTTTAACGGACATTATAGTTTTCTCGATAACCAAACAGATTGAAAGCATTTTCTCAGCATCCAAACACTTAAACTATACAATTTTCTAACCAAACAAAGGGAAACCCACTAAGAATTGCTTCTTTGCCATCTGTCACTACTTCTGTTCTTTCCATCGCCGACGATGTTCTTTTCATTTTGAACATTGAAATCATTTAGACAATACTTAGGAAATATGAAGAAAAGGATCCCAAAAATCCCTCACAACCTGCAATTTGCATAAACTCTTCACAAATAAACATGTAACAAAAAAAAAAAAGTGGAGCTAGGTTCCTCGAACCCAGCAGATGGGTTCCATCGAACCTGAGTTGAGTTCCCTTGAACCCAGATCAGTTGGGTTTAAGGGAACCAAGCAACACAGAGGAAGAAGAGGAAGAAAGAAAAAGGAAAGGAAGAAGATGGATCGAAAGAAGAGAAGAAGATGGATCAAGAAAAGGAGACAGGGGTACTAAGGTAAATTTGTAGTTTTTTAATTTTTTTATTAAAAATATAAATGTTAATCAAATCTGATTTATGAGTTGACATTGACGTGTAATGAAAAAAAATCTAGATCAACACTTTTTTCAGTTGTTTTCGTAATGTTATAAAAAAAATATAAAAAATGCCAAATGACCAAGTTAACGGTTTAAATTGACAGAATGACTAACGGTGTGCATTTCTTAGAGTTGAGGAATCAAAAAAGTGCAAAAATTATTGAGGGACCAAAAATGTGCAACTCACTAAAATTGAGGGACAAAATTTAGCATTTAACCTATTAAGATAATTTTTTATATAATTTTTTTTATATTATTAAATAAACAAATACAATTAATATTATAAATTTTAAATAAATAAAAAAATTATTTACTTAAATATTACAAAAAATTATATACAAAATAATATAAAAAATTACCCCCTCACTTATTTTTCCTTGCAAATGTTGTTAGATTCAAGCACTGTAAAGTACCATAAATTTAGACTAGTTTAAAAATGTTGAATTCATGTTCATCACTTCACATCAGGACAAAATTCAAGCCTCTTTCTACAAAAAATTTAGATTCAGCCATGTTTTGAAATTTGTACCTTGTACGTTAATTTGCTCTTGCTGAATCAATAATTAATGATGAAGAGTTCAAATTCATAAACCAATAACTCTACCCCAAATTCAAGAAACGTTGTCTGGCAATGGTGTAATAGATGTATTAGTATGTCTGCTCTTAGTAGCTTCTTTTTTCATTTTTTTTAATTTGGATATTTTTAATACTTATATTATTAAAATGATTAATAATGATTAAATTACAATTTTAGTCCCTAAATTTTTTTTGAATATTTTTATCCTTAAATTATTTTAAAATTTTTTTAGTCATTACACCATAAAAAATGTAATTTTTTAATTTTTTTTATCAATTAGTCTGTTAAATTTATTTAAATATATATTTTTAATCTCTAAATTTATAATATATGTATATGTTTTGTTTTTGAATTTAAATTTAAGGACTAAAAAAAGTATATATTGATATAAATTTAACAGAATAGCTAACAAATGAACTAAAAAATATTTTTTTATTATTTTTTTAAGTTGTCACATTTTTTATAATTTAAGGGAAAAATGTAAAAAATAGTTTAAAGATAAAAAAATTTAAAATTAAAAGTTTGGAAACTAAAATTAGTATTTAATTTTTAATAATTAACTCTCTTGATTTTATTGAGATTCATAATATTATATCCATTAATTTATTTAATAATTTATTTTATATCATATCATTAATCTTAAATTTTGTGTTCCTCATTTTCCTTTGATGTATCACTACATAAGTTGGCTAGGCCAATAAAGAGATGACACGTGTGAAGGAAAAGAAAATAGTTACGGAAAAAATGATCGTGAAACTATATTTTTATACTTCCTATATCTAATTTTAATAGTTTTAATCTAACTTTAAAATTTATATATATAAATTTTAAATAAAAATTTAATAATTTATATAAATAATGAAATGCATAAGCTTAAGGACTATACATATTATAAGTTTAGAAAGTAAAAATATACATATTTAAATAGAATTAATAGATTAAGACTTTGTAGGAAATGCTTCTCAGTTGCTTTACCTTTTTTTTATTATCTTTTTTTATCCTAAAAATATATAAAAATATTAATTAAGATAATAAAAAATATATATTAATCTCAACTTTCATAAAGATTTGAGTTCCAACATTAACTAATATTATTCATTTAATTAAATTTTTAAATTTTATCTTATTAAATAATAAAACTTATATTTAGAAATTAATTACATGTTTTAACACAATCAGTTTGAAAAAAATTTTCCCTTCATTTCTCTTCTTTCCTTTTTCCTCATTTAAATAAATAATTAAATTTAAAAAAATAAATAAAATAAACAAAATATTTTCCCTTTCATCTCAATATACTATTAGCGTGCATTCCCCTGTTATGGCCAATTAGTGGTCACTATAACCTAAAAGGGCTGTCGGTGAATTACACCCCTAACCAGTAGTCAAACTTTACCAAAGAATAAGATATTAACTTTTAACTTCTAATTCCTAACAATTGCTCTTGTCAAAAAATAAAATAAAATAAATATACTATTAGTGTGAAGATTACTTAAGAAATTACTCTAATATTCTCAATAAATTTTTTTATTAATTTATTAAAGAAAACTAGCCACATCGCCCGAGGTCTCCTCAGAATAGTTCAGCTTTCTTCCCCTCTCTTGTGCTTCCTCTAGGCAGACGCAGCAAAATTACTGAAAAATCATGTAAAGAACTAGCCATATCATAGAACCCATGACGCCAAACTAAAACATGACTGAATCCCTTTAACAAAACAAAGGACCCCCACCCCAGCAATCCACAGCACATAATATACCCAACATATTTCCATACATAACAAGAAGGATTTTCAATTACAAATCGAATCCTGCAAAGACGTCTCCTTTTCATACTTCTAATTACATAACATATGGATACCACTTTGTTGCAACACGAGGATCACAATCAAATTGCACCCACTAAAAAACCTTAGGAAAGCAGATCAAATAATTCTGTTAAAGGACAAACGGCAGCTCCCGATATTTTAACATAAAATGGCAAGAACCAAATGCTTGACTCCAACCATCCAATCACCTAAAATACATTCAGAAAATTATAGACACGCTTTAAGTTTTTCAAACTCTAAGCAAAGCATTAATTGATCAAACATCAAAAGTATAAGGAACAAAATAAGCTTAGTAACGAACAGCACAAAATTACCTATGTAAGACGCAATATCTTTAGCTTTGATATAAAAATCATAGATAGGGTATTCTGCTTTGTATTTGTTGGGATTAGGCCCAACGCCAAATTCAGGCCACATATAACAGGCCCAACTATGCACACACAGGCCCAAGAGGAAGAGACACGCCCACGTGAGCAGCACCACGTGGCCCAATGAGTTACTTACATGTGGGAATGCATGTCAGTATTTGGGGCTATAAATACCCCCTAACCACCAACAATGAAGGTAATTAATCTCTACGCTTCTCTCTCTGCAATTACTCTTTGAGAGCACTTCTCTCTAGAATATTGAGTATTGCTGACTTGAGCGTTGGAGTGTTTTCCCCGAGGAAGCACCCTTGGGATTTTCAGGTGTAGAAGCAGCTGAAGACTTCAACAGCGTTGGATTGTGAAGCTGCCCAAACATTTGGCGCCGTCTGTGGGAACTGAACAAGAAGTTGTGTAACTCAACCTGTTGAAAGAAAAATGGTTCGAACTTTTACAGGAGGTCGCCCCCCAAGGCAGGAGGTGAACGAACAGGATGACCCTCAAGTATCTGAGCCCGGATTGAATGACTTTAGGCCAATGCCGAGAAACCTTTTCGTCGGAGGAGCCGAACAGGATCATCTGAGTGAAACAGATGACGAAAGAACACCAACTGGGTATGCAACCCAGCCTGAACAGTT